TCAACCTGAAGGGGACTACCCGCGATTCCGTACGGTGCCTGGCTCGGATGTGCACTGCCAGTCCCAGCATGGGGAGGACTGTCCGCCTGCTCCTCCTGCGCAGCGCTGCCCGCGGCACTGCTGCCCCCTCTCTCCGCTGCGTCGGCGTCATGCGCTCCTAGCGCCTGAGCCCCGAGGTGCGCTGGCTGGACCTCGCCGCGTGGTGCTGCGCCGTACCCTTCATCGCCAGCTTCCTGCCGTAGCCCGCAGCTGTCGAGGATGCTCTTCCACTCCACGCCATGCTGGGCGCGGCACCTCATCAGCTTCTCGTCCGTCACGCAGGATGGCGGCGCAGGTGCGATCGGGAGCACGCTGTCTAGGGGTCCCCCTCTCTCCGCCGCAGGCACCTCCTCATCTTCCTTGCCCCTCACTGGGCTGGGAAACTCCTGGCCTGCTCTAGCTGCGCGCTGACCTGCTGCTCCACCGCTGCTGCTGGGCTGAGAGGCCTCCTCTTCAGCGGCAGAGGCCGCCTGCCTCTTCTCGACCCAGAGGCTGGGGGGCCTCACGTGCACTCCTTCAGCCGCCTCAACCTGAAAGGGACAACCCGCGATTCCGCACGGTGCCTGGCTCGGAGGTGCACTGCCAGTCCCAGCATGGGGAGGGATATCCGCCCGCGCCTCCTGCGCAGCGCTGTCCGCAGCGCTGCTGCCTCCTTTCTCCGCTGCGTCGGTGCCCTGCGCTCCTGGCGCCAGGGCCCCGAGGTGCGCTGGCTGGTCCTCAACGCCTGGTGCAGCGCCGTGCCCTTCCGCGCCAACTTCTCGCCGTAGCCCGCAGCTGCCGAGGATGCTCTGCCACTCCTCGCCATGCTGGACGCAGCACCTCATCAGATTCACGTCCGTCACGCAGGACGGCGGCGCAGGTGCGATCGGGAGCACGCTGCTTAGCGGTCCCCATCTCTCCGCCGCAGAAACCCCCTCAGCTCCCTTGCCCCTCACTGGCCTGGGACGCTCCTGGCCTGCTCTAGCTGCGCGCTGACCTGCTGCGCCACCACTGCTGCTGGGCTGAGGGGCCTCCACCTCAGCACGTGGGGTGCTCCTCGCTGCGGCCTCACCCTCGAACCTCAGCACCGAGGCGAGCTGCTCCTGCACCCTCAGCCTGGCTTGCCTCCAGCTGCTGCCGTGGTCTCTCTCACAGCACCCTTGTGGCCGAACCTCAGGAAAGGTCCGCGGCTTCTGGACCAGCCTGAAGCGCGCCTCCTCTTGCTGCCTGCGGATCTCGAGAATCACCGCCGAGTGCGGGTACACTGGCGAGGCCTCCACCACCCGCACAGCCAGCGCAGCCAGTCCCCTGGACACCAGGAAGAAGTCGATGGTCCTCCCCGACGCTGCGCACGTGGGCGAGGCAGGCCTGACCACCTTGCCATCGAACATGTCGGGCACCCCGCCTGCCTGCAGCTCTTCCTCCGTGAGGTTCCAATCGCCGCCCACCACGAAGTCCCTGCGGCACTGCCTCAACCTCCTTGCCAGTCTCCTGAGGCTGGCCACGTTGCCATCGTTGAAGGAGGGAGGAGGAGGAGGAGGAGGAGGAGGAGGAGGAGGAGGAGGAGGAGGAGGAGGAGGAGGAGGAGGAGGAGGGAGGAGGAGGAAGGAGGAGGAGGAGGGGGGGCGCCCCTCGCCCGTGTTTCTCGGGGGGACGACGTGCCCGGCAGGCCGTCCACGCCTGCCTTGGGAAACACCAGCGCCGGACTACGTCGTCGTCGGTCGTCGCTCGTCGTCGTCGTCGTCGTTGTCGTCGTCGTCGTCGTTGCCGTCGCTCGTCGTCGTCGTCGCTCGTCGTCGCTCGTCGTCGTCGTCGTCGTCGTCGTCGTCGTCGTCGCCGTCGTCACTCGCCGGTCTCGCGAGGAAGGGGTGGCCGACGCGCGGAGGCCGTGGAAAGCTTCATCCCAGAGCTTGAGAAGCACAAGAGGGGGGAGCAAGAGGACGCAGGCGAGGTGGAGGGGAAACGGAAACGGAGATGGAGATGGGAACTTCGCGAGGCGGAAGATATCACTTAAACCCTGGGTTTCTTAGAAAGCGTGGGGCGGTACCCCCACACGGGGGTCAACCTCGCCTCGTCGTCGCGCCGCGAGGGGGGTCGGAGCGCCTTCGGCGCGCGGTGGCTGCCCGCAACGGGGGTCGATGTGGGGCTGTCGGCGGGGGTGACGCCCCCCAGACGCTGATTAAGAAACTCGGGGTAAGGAGAGATGAGGCCGCTGGCGCGTTGCTCGGGCTGGAGGGGAGGGGGGTGGAGGGAGGCTGGCGGGAGAGGCGAGCAGAGAGGGAACTTTCGCATCTGCCCCAGAGAGGGAACTTTGAAGGAACTACAGCACCCCCCTTGCACTTCTTGGACACCCTAGCGCACGCCCTCAGGCTTCTGCCGCAACTCATGGACGCCTCCCATGCCATCTTGTTGGCTCCTGCGAGCCGGCGCTAGTCCACGCTAGTCGGCACTAAATCGACGCTAATCGAGGCGAATCGTCGCCAATCGACGCTCATGCACGCCCAATGGGCGCTACGTCAACGATTCCAAAACGCTAATCGACGCAAATGCCTTCTGAAGACGGATAAACGAGTGTATGCAAGGGTCCCATGAATTGCTACCGAATCAAGCCCTAACACCCTTGCCCCCGCCACCCCTGGTGCGCCCCCATCACCCCCTTGGCCCGATGCCGACACGCCACCGCCGCGGGCCTCTTTGTCTCTCTTGATGCGTCTCAGCTCGCGGATCTTCCAGAGCTCGTACCTGGCGCTCGGCGCGGGGGGCGCAAGGGACACACGAGCTCACTCGAGGGTCCCCAACTCCTAGCACGAGCCGACGAGGAAGGAGCACACTTATGAGCGAAAGGAGGAGCAGCAGTGCCAGGGGGAGTGGGAGAGGGAGGAGGGTGAAGAAGGGGATGCTGCACAAGAGGCAGAGGAGGATGGGGAGGTGAAATGATCATGTAGTCTGGCAGTGATCATGTAATCTGCTGCGGGATCCCCCCTCGATTCTTTGAGCAACCAGCACGCAACAAAACCATCTTCGCGCTCCCGAGGTCAAGATCCCCTGCAGAAGCGGTGGATCCGCGCGCCCAGGGCCACGATCCCGTGTGAAACACTGCGGTTCCCGGAGCCTCCAAGACGGCCGAGGCAGGCAATCAAGGCCGCCAAGATGGCCCAGGATTTACCAGCCTGGAACATATCCCTATCCCTATGCTGGGCACCTCCTCATCACGATGCCAATCTTAGGGATTCCCGTATTTTTTGAAGGCGAATCCCTAAGATTGTCATCGCCTGTTGGGCGTGTCAATCTTAGGAGTAGGGATACGTTCGAGGCTGGTAAAGGGTGCCTCCAAGCCAGCACAAGATGACCCCAAGGCGGCCCGAGAGGCCCCCAGGACGGCCCAAGAGGGTCAAAAGAGGGCCACCAGCAGGGCCACCAGCAGAGCCCGAATACTAGGAGGAGGAGGAGGAGGAGGAGGAGGAGGAGGGAGAGGAGGGAGAGGAGGAGGAGGAGGAGGATAAGCCGATGAAGAAGGAGAGGGGGGCGTCGGCACCTCTGCGGCTTCCCTGGAGCTCCAGCCGGACCTGGAGGCCGTCGCCAAGAGGAACCCAAGACGGCACAGGAGAGCACCCAGACGACGCAGTAATCCTCCCAGGCGGCTCCGAGACAGCGGTAAGAGGGCCCCCAGGCGACGAGGGCTCCGAGACAGCCCGCGACCCCAGAGACACAGAGGCTGGCCCAAAGGGGGCCTGCCGGAGGGGCCCAAGGCGGCCTCCGAAAGCCCTCGACGGCCCCAGACTGCCGCAAGACTGGCCCAGATCGGGGGGCGGCCACGAGGGGGGCGTCCACGAGGAGGGAGAGGGGGGGGCAAATCATGGCCGGCGGCACGTACGCGGCCCAGGGAGGGAACGTAATGAAATAAGAAGAGAAGGAAGAGGGGGAAGAGAGGAAGAGGGGAAGAAGCGAGGGGGCGGGGCGGGGGCGCAATGAAGTAGGCAGAGGCGCCATGAGATCGGGGCAGATATCAGGGCCCCCGTCATGATATCGCCCCCCCCTTCTTGAACGCCCACGACAGATGGGGCAGCGACGGACGGAGCGGGGCCGCCGGAGCGGCAAGCAGGCCCAGCTCCTCTCCAAAGGGAAATCAGGAGCCCACGGAAGCCGTGGGCGCCCTCGGGCGCTCCAGGAGGGAAGCGCGGGACTCTTCCCGAGGCCTTGGGAGCGTTACGCGGTTGGGAGTTGGCACTTCCAACGTGTCGCTAGAGGGACTACTGGACCTTCTATACATATATATATACACACACACGTAATAGTAGCACTAATAATTTTATTAGCATTATCATCATTATTATTATTATTTAAATGTACATGTATTAAAAAAGGGGGGAAACGAGGAAAGGTCCTGTAAGCCAGTCAAGCGCAAGCCTCCTCCCCAGAAGCCGGGGAGGTTGCGCGCCTGTCAGGGTTTCATAGGCACGTCGCCAACTCCTACGAACAGATCTCCCGCCACTCTTCCCCGGGAATGGAATCAGAACCTGGCAACTCCGCGAAACAGAATTCGTACGGGCCCACCCGCTTCCCTATACCACGGCAATGAGCAGAAATGTATCCAGAATTTACTCCTAATATTCGCGCCGCTTCCCGCATCGATGGATACCACTCCCACGAAGATGAGGCTATCCGACGCCCCCAGACAGGCTTTGAGGTGGCAGCAGTTCTACATCGGGATGACGTCGTGTTCCACGAGCGCCAGATATTTTCAGCTTGAGTCACATACTCAAGATTTTCCACGCGATTGTTGCCAGGATCGCCGTCCTTGTGGTGAACTACATAGCGACCGGAATCGGGATTGGCTCCAAGGAAAGCGCGTGCCACCAGACGATGCACAGAAAAAGAGGCGTGGACACCATCAATCGATACGCCGACCTGCCGATAGCCGCTGAGCCTCTGGCTGCCCCACGAGATGATGTTCCGACTGGATTTTACACGTCCGAGTGAGCTCACCATCCAACATGAAACTGGCTTGCCTGTTTGTGGATGCAGTGCCGCACGCCACTCCTCTCCAGAAAGCAAAGCAAGCTGGCAGTCTGCAAAGCGAAATTCCCAGTCTCGAGTAGAAGCGGCAACTCCTGCACAGCACCGACGGACGAAATATACCGAACACCCTGTCTGACATGCAGCTTCGCGGACTGACGGGTACCTTTGCCAGTGTGTGCAGCCTTTGCGCCTGCCCAAAACAGGCTTCGAATTGGCAGTCGCGCATGTATTTCTTTCTGGGTTGTCGTAAGAATGCTTGATATTTTGGGCATGTGTGGCATATTCCAAATTGTTGACGTGGTTGTTGCTGGGATCTCCATCTTTATGATGGACAACAGACGAGCTGGCTGGAGGCCGACCCAGGAACGCGCGGGCAACTAGGCGATGCACATACTTGGAAGAACCTCCGATTGAGGTCACATGGTAACCTGACTTCGTTTTACTGCCCCACGTGATGAGTCCTTTCGTGCTCTGGATACGACCGTGGGAGCTCACACCAGCTACACCAGATGGTAAATTCAGAGATGTCTGGAGGCAAGAACTTCGAAACTCGCACAATGAGCGAGAAAGGCTCAGCAAACGCCGGTCAACACGGCAAATAAACCAGGGGGGTCTCAAGGCCCACCTTCCTGAAAGGATGCACGACGCAGCTACGAATGCCATCGTTGGAACATGAGCTATCAAACTGAAGCAATTTCGCCTTGTACAAACGTTACGTCACAACCCATGGTAGCCTGAAACGGGTCGGGCCAAACTGGCTTGAACCACAGTGGCTTGAACCAAAATGGCTACGGATGGGGACTCTGGGGCCGTCTTCGGGGCCCGAGTTTACCAGCCTGGAACATATCCCTATCCCTATGCTGGGCACCTCCTCATCACGATGCCGATCTTAGGGATTCCCTTACTTTTTGAGGGCGGATCCCTAAGACTGTCATCGCATTTTGGCGTGTCAATCTTAGGGATAGGGATACGTTCGAGGCTGGTAACCGAGCGCCTGGCCAAAAAGGGCCCCGAGATGGCACAGCAGCCCGCCACCGTGCCGCCGGGCACGAAGTGGCTGCGTCCTCGGGTCCCGGGCCCGATCCTCTCAGCCTCAGTCCTCCCTCCTGAGGAGTCTCAGAGGCGCCTCCTCCTCCTCCTCCTCCTCCTCCTGGAACATATCCCTATCCCTATGCTGGGCACCTCCTCATCACGATGCCAATCTTAGGGATTCCCTTATTTTTGAGGGCGGATCCCTAAGATTGTCATCGCCTTTGGGCGTGTCAATCTCAGGGATAGGGGTACGTTCGAGGCTGGTAATCTGGGGCCGTCTTCGAGGCCCGAGCGCCTGGCCAAAAAGGGCCCCGAGATGGCAGCAGGCCGCCACCGTGCCGCTGGGCACCGAGTGGATGTGTCCTGCAGGTCCCGGGCCCGATCCTCAAAGCATCCATCCTCCCTCCTGAGGAGTCTCTACAGTCGGGGCGTTGACCTAAGGAACCCTCAACAAGGAACGGGGCCCCTTTTTCTCCATAAGTTGACCTTCGATTCCCCATGAAAAACCTCAGGAAAACAGACGGCAAACTGCAGAACAATCAAGGAACACCAAGCCCCTCCCCAACGAAAAGGGCTCCTTCTTCAGGGCCCCGACTGTGAGGAGGCGCCCGGAGCACAAGTAGTTCTGAAATCTCCTGGGGCTCGACGCGTCGCCCGGAGAGGCCTTCCAGAGGCCTCCCGAGAGGGCCCTCCTCGATGTACCCCGGACGTTTGAGGGATGTGGGCGTCCTCGCCTTTTCTTAACGGGCGAAGAACAGTATAAAATAAACTTTTTCGCTGTCGGGGGCGCCTGTCCCAGGGCGGCTGGAAAGTTTATACCCTTACGGTGGCACCGTAGGGGTATAAACTTTCAAGTCGCCCTGGGACAGGCGCCCCCGACAGCGAAAAAGTTTATTTTATACCGTTCTTCGCCCGCTGATTTTCGGCTTCCCGGCGCTCCGTTAAGGCCAACGAGGCCCCCAGGATCGCCCCAAGGCGGCCCCAGAGGCCCCCAAAGAGGCCCCCGAGAGAGCCCAAAGAGGGCCCGGAGGCCCAAGAGGCGCCCTGAACGGCCCAATTGGAGGACCCACAGACGGCCCCAAGAGGGGGCCCGGATGGGGAACCCGAGCGGACATTTCGAGCCCTCGGCCCCGAGGGGCCCCCAGGACGTCCCAAGAGGCCCCCAAGAGGCGCCTACTGGCAGTTGGTGTGCCTATATCGCGGCAACCACCTGCGTGTGGGCTTTTGTCCGAGCGAATCTGAGCGTGAGAGATCTGAGTAAGAGCAAGTCGGAGTGCGAGTGGGTCTGAGTGCGAAAGAGTCTGAGTGTGAGGGAGTCTGCGGGCGAGCGCGATGAATTCGAATCTGGATACGGGTGACCCTGAGTACGAGGTCTTCTGAATATGAAAAAGAATGTGAGGGTGGGCGGGCCGGAACCTGACAGAAACTGCGTGTCAGTCTAGGTGTCACTGTGTCTGAATGCATGTGAGTATGAGTGTATGGATAAGTCTAAGAATGAGCGAGTCTGAAAATGAGTGAGTCCGAGTATGGGTGAATCTGAATGTGATGGTGAGTCTGACTGACAAAAAAGCATGTGAAAACTCTCAACATGAACGGGTACGTCTGAGTGGGAAAATTGAGAAGAGGAGGAAGAGGTGAGCGAGTGGGTGAATGAGAAGCACACACACGCACATCCAAAGAGAAACGTGGGGGGGAGAGACAGGCAAAACGCCTGCGACATCCCCACAATATGGACGCGAATCCTGGAGTGTCCTCCCCTCGGGTGGCTCCCCGTTGGAGTGCTAGAGTGACACGCCTCCTATATCGCGGTGAGCAGTGGACCAGCACAAGAAAGCTGTATGGGGGGCAAGAACAGGCAAGCCGCCTGAGACATCCCCACAATCTGGGCGCGAACGGGCGAGTGGAATCCCCCCTGGCGGCACCCCCTTGGGGTGCCCAAATGACACGCCTGCTGTAATCAATGCGGTGAGCAGTGGACCAGCAGAAGAAAACGGTCTGGGGGGGCAGGAAAAGGCAAAACACCTGAGACATCCCCACGATCTGGACGCGAACGGGGGATTGGAATCCACCCTGGCGGCTCCCCCATTGCGGTGCCCAAATGCCACTCCTGCTATTTTGCGGTGAGCAGTGGACCAGCAAAAGAGAACAGTCTGGGAGGGGCAGAAACAGGCAAGCCGCCTGAGACATCCCCACAATCTAGGCACGAGAGGGCGAATCCCCTGGCGGCTCCCCCATTGTGTGCTCAACTGCCACGCCTCCTATTTCGCTGTGAGCAATGTACCACCAAAAAATCGGACTCGGTCGGAAAAGAAAGAAAGAGTGTCGGAGAGAGAGAAGGATAGAGAGAGAGGGTCTGAATGTGTATGAGTGGGTCTGTGTCTGAGGCGAACTCCCTCAGCGGGTCTGAAAGAGTCTGAACGGCTTTGAGTCTGAGCGAGTGAGTCTGATTGAGAAAGTGATATGGCCAAGTCTGCTTGAGGGACAATGAGTTTGTGATGGACCCCGCGAAGAAGCGTGGGTCAGTGATGGACTCCGTGACGAGGAGGAGAAGGAGGAGAGGAAGAAGGTCCGTGGGAGGGGTGTGGGGGGGATGCAGGAGAACTCCACCTCAGGATGTGGGGAGCTGCGTGGCCGGTGCTTGCTCGCCTGGGCGGTCCTGGAGCGCTCGAGGCGGACCCAGAGAGACGCACGAGACCGCCCAAGGACGCTCCCCGAGCCCCTGCGGGGCCCCAGAGGCTCCCCAGGTGGCCCCGGGAGGGGGAGGAGGGGGAGAAGGGGGAGGAGGAGGGGGAGGGGGAGGAGGAGGAGGAGGAGGAGGAGGAGGAGGAGGAGGAGGAGGAGGAGGAGGAAGAGAAGGAGGAGGAGGAGAAGGAGGAGGAGGAGGAGGGGGAGGAGGAGGAGGAGGAGGAGGAGCAGGAGGAGGAGGAGGAGGGGAGGGGCCCGAGATGCCCTGCGTGCCAAGAGGGTCCCCGAGACCGTCGGCGGTCCACGGAGAGGCGCCCTGCAGGCCCACAAGAAGCTCCAAGAGACCTCCCTCATTCCACGCCGCCGAAAAACAATCCGATCGACATGTCTTCTTTCTTTTCTGAGAGGGGGAGAGCTGGGGGGAGAGCTGGGGGGATGAAAGCGCGGGCGGGGGGAGGGGGAGAGCTGGGGGGGATGAAAACGCGAACCGCCGTGCAGAACGATTGTCCCGACCGTGGCCTGGCCCACTCAACAGGCTGTCCTGCGAGCGTGTCCGAAACTCCGCCGATCGACGTCGACCACAGAGCAAAGAAAGTCAAAACCTGCAACTGCCCCAGGCTCGGGAATTGGGGGAAAGGAAAAACAATAAGAAGAAGAAGAAGAAGAAGAAGAAGAAGAAGAGGAAGAAGAAGAAGGTGGAAAGGGGAGGGGACAATGGCATTGTGCGGGCACCATCTTTGAATCCCTGGATTGGACACCTCGGTCCTTTTTCACATCCCCCTCCCCATCCTTCTCCTCCCCGTCCCACTCTCGGTCACTCTCTCCGAACCCTCTCACCCCACACCCCATGGAAAATCGGTTAGGCCAACTAGTTGACGCTCTTCTGCGTCGCTCTCCTGAAACTGGTGGGTTCAAAGGGCGGCGCACTCTTCCGCCTCGTTCTTCTCATCGTCGTCGTCGATGAGCTCTATGTCGGAGGCGTCGAGTATTTCGGCGCCAGCTTTCTCCAGCTGGGGAGCGCAGGGGAACAGGGGTGGGGATGAAGGGGCGAAGGTAGGAAAAGAGAGGCGACGGAGGGGCGCGCGGGAAGGAATCCGGGAAGGAACTGCGCCCACGTGCTGCTTTTCTCCCGTACCCGGACCGCTGCACCCTGCCTCCCAGGTCCCCAAGCTTTCTAAGATGATGCGGCGCTGCCCGGTTCCTGTCTCCGCCCCTCCTCCTCCTCCTCCTCCTCCTCCTCCTCCTGGGTTATTGCCTTCGGTGCTCGTCTCGATTGGGTCTTCCAGTGATCCAGAACAACATTTGTTGGATTTGTTGAGTCCGCTGGGATTTGTTGATCTGCGACGGCCCCCCTACGTGACGCGCGGATTGCGCCGAATGGTGGCGCCTCTCGAGGCGCAAGGCGGGTCCCAGCGCCGATTCGAGCTCATGTGTATGTAGTTGTTCTCTTCGACCCCATCCTCCTGCCGTTCCTCATCCTCCTCGTGCTAGTCCTCCTCCTCCTCCTACTCCTCTGCCTCCTCCTCGCGCTGGCATTGCCACCATGCCCCATCCCCGTCCCGGTCCCCGTCCAAAGCACCGTCCCCGTCCACGTCCCCGTCCC